AGAGCACACCTTCATATGCTCATAGTGATCTTCCTTTGTGGTTTTGTTGTAAGAAAATTAGATACTATAAGGTGGAAGATGAAAGTTTCTCCATCCTGACAAGGCATGTCCAGATGTCATGGACCTCATCATCATATTGGGGGAAAAATATCTATAGGTTCCCAATGTTAGATAGCTTGAGAAACATGGTTCCTCATCAAAACAAGAATAGGGAACAACATGACATGACAGCCAGATTCCCAACCCATCCTCATCTTTTGGTGAACCATTCCTATGAATCATCTGGTTTCAGGCTATTGTACTAGAGCTTTTCAGACAGATGTTCTAGCCTGGAATAAGGCCAGATGTCCCCATCCTTTTTGCTAGTTGGTTTACCAGTTAGCAACCTTGCTCCTCCATTTGCTCTCAGTGAAGGCACCATAGTCTACAACTTGAAAGAGTAATAGATTCCATTGAATACAGTGGAATTGAACTGATTAAACATATATAATTGCACTGTCAGTCTTGGCTCATTTTCCCTCCTATAGACAGGAATGCAAATCCATAGCTGTCTCCTTCAACATGTTGAAGGTTATAAGATATGTCTCCTTTGCATGAACAGAGAAGATCCTCTATTTATTACAAGTCAGCAATGACTGGAATATATTAAGTAACTACAAGACATATAAACTGTAGAGTATTTATGCTGAACATGATTACATTAGAGTTTTAGTATGCCAGACACTTAAGAAGTAGGGTGAATGAAAGGTTGCTTTCCAAGATAGGAGTTTAAAATATATATTGGTTGCATCATATCTATTTTTAATGGGTGGGAGTGACAGTTCTGATTAGATTATTTTGGAAATCGTTCTCTTCCCATCCCCAGTGTATGTTTGAAGTTATCCTATTGCAGTCTTTTCTGTCTTGTGCTAGACCAAAACTACCATTGCTTCTGTACAATGTGGCAATGTATAGGACACCATGTTGGGGGCCAATATGATGCTGATGGGTCCATGACATCTGGGTATGTCTTTCCAGGATAAGACAGTTTCCACCTGTATGACTGAAGAATGATACTACTTTACATTCACAGAATCATAGAATCCTTGAGTTGGAAGAGACCTCATGGACCATCCAGTCCAGCCCCCTGCCAAGAAGAAGGAAAATTGCATTCAAAGTATTCAGCCTCTGTTTCTTGCATAGATGTCAGAGTTTTTTTTTTACAGCAGACCTCCAAAATAAGGCCACTTTGGTGTCATTATGCCCTGATTTTAGTAAGACAAATGAGGCTAGAAAATATTTAATGTTTGTGGTACACGCATGAGTTTGGCGTTGCAGTACAGTAGATCCATGGTGAAAAGGAAGATCTCAGTGATTCTGCTGGCCTCACCCATACTAATATGTCTTCATAGACTCTGAGAAAATGAGATTTGCTGGGCTTTGCATGGGTATTGGACAAACCTGATGATACATATAAGTTCAAACTTGGAAGTAACAGAATACAAGTATCTTGCTATTTGTAATTTTTTCCTTTCTTCAGTAATGTAGGTATAATTAAGTTATATTACCATTCTGCCTGAGTGAAGAGATAATACTACAATTTTAATGGTATAGTAGTCATATTTTAGTATTTTCATCATTCTGGACTAATGGCCTCATAAATTGAAGGGAAATATAGAACAGGTGCAGTTTCATGCTGTGCCACATGTTGCTACATTCAGATTTTCCTTAAAATAACCAAAGGGTGACTGTTTTACTTATTGTCATAAAAGTAAAGAGTTGTATTTTTTCAAATACAGCAGTAACTTCTTTTTATGGGCTTTGGAAACAGGAGATATAACGAAAACTTCACTTCTGATCTTGCATTTGCATGGTCATATTATGAGAGTAGCACTTCACTGAAGTTCCGGGGGAGTGTTCTGAGACCAAATAACCCACATATTAAGCCCAAAAAATTGCCCTGGTAAAACAGAATTTCAGCTCACCTCTGTGGTTTTGTTGTGTTGGATAGTGTCCTTAAAATCTTCTAGGGAAGCAGGCATGTTATCAGTTTGACTTCATTTAGACATGTTTGTTAAGCTAACCCAAATACCCAAGATTTATCTTGAATAGTGCGAGGAAAATGCTGGCATGCAGGGGCGGCTCAACCCATTATGCAAAGTAAGCATTTGCAGTATAGTTGATTTTGCCCAGGGGTGCTCTTGAGGCGCTCTTAGGGGAAAATAGACCTTGACATATGCGAGTTGTAGTTACTGGGATGTATAGTTCACCTAAAATCGAAGAGCATTCTGAACTCGACCAATTATGGAATTGAACCAAATATGGCACACAGAACTCCCACGATGAACAGAAAATATATATCAGTGATTGTTTGGGGGGGGGGGCAAAATACTGTTTGCTTACCGTTAAAAATTACCTAGGGCCACCTCTGCTGGCATGAAATATTGACCTCCCCTCACCCCCGGTGGAGATTGTAGTTCTCCTCAGCAACTCCTTTACAATTAGTCAGTCAAAGGGTGCCAGGGAGCCTAGAAGCTGAAATTCATGAAATAACCAAAGCAGTTTCTGCTTTAGAATCAGGCCCAAAGCCAATTTGGAATAGATCTAGATAATGTGCCTTTCTAGAAACTTTTCAAGAAGACAGAAGGCATGCATAGCTTGCTTTTCACCACAACATGGGGAACTGGAAGGGATGGTAAGGATAGTCAGGACTCTCTCCCACATCCACAGTGATGGAAAAGCTGTGAAAACCATCTTGGGAGGATCAAGTGTATACCATTCCGAACTGGCCCTGGAATAGCAGGTCAGTATAGACCCAACCTAAGTCAACATCCATAAAATGTCTTTGTTCATAGCCTCATAACCAGCTGCTTTTCTTAGCCAAGTTCAGTAAAATACTTTCAGTACAATGCATGTAGGAAAGCCGGGGTTTACGCATACAATAATGAAGAATGCTGAAGATGCTGCTATAACCAGGGGCTTTGCATGCTTTCTGTCTTCTTGCTTAGCTGCAAAGAAACAATGCTCTAAAAATGCTATTCCTCCTTTATGCTTGGGGCTAAGACTATACATTAAAATCTACCATCTCAAATGATTTATGTTCACTTTACTGCATGTTTACATTCCATAGTGGGGATGATTTGTGGAGAGTGTTGTCCTTAAAAGTGTTTCCATGGATTCCAGGTATCAAGTGGTTAGGGTTTTAAAAAATATTTTTGAACATTGGTGCAGTTCTGTATAATAATGTAAGATGCCCTAATTTGAACTTTTCAATATAAATAAGATTTTGACCAAAGGGTGCCCCAGAATGGCATTTGCTCATTAAAAGAAGGAGCAGTGTATTTTGGGACTACTACTTTTACCATTGTTTTTGTCATTGATTCTCTAAATATGGTGTATTTAAAAGTACAGAACTGCGTTATTGTGTTCTGTGCAGGAAAATGAAGTTCTGCTGTCCTTTATGTCTGCAGTGATTTTATTTTAAATCACTTGGATTATTTTATGAAGACACTGCTAGGTAATAAGCACTGTGTATTAAAGAAACAGTATCCTTTCCACAGGTCTATTGACAGTATTTTCCCCATGCACAATATACCATTACTTTTGTTTTAGAACCAAAATTGTGAAGAAAACATACACAATAGAGACCCCTTCTCTGGTTATTTATTTTGTGTAAAAAGCATTGCATACATAAGAATAAAACTGATACAAATAGAAGAAGCACAAGCAGTTAAATAATTTTTGACCAAAACTGGTCAACAGCGACCGCATTATCTGTAGCTTTAAACAATTCTTCCTCTGTGCATGAGGCAGGGCATTGTGGACAAGCATAGAGGTGCAGAGTTGTTTATTTTGCTCCTCAGTCACACTAGGTGGAGGATTTACCAGGTTGTCTTTTGACCTGCCCACTCCACTTTTGGGTCTGTTCAGGGACTTCCAAGTTAACCATTCTTGGTTTGTCCCTAGAGGCAGTCCTTCATGGGGGGCCATCCAATTGGGAATTCCTGGTTTAGCTTCCCCGAGGGATGCTCTTGCTATTCTCTGGTGTCGCATCCCTTCTCTGGTGTTTCAGTTGCATACCTTTCTGTTAAATGTGTTCACCTGAATGTTAAGTAAACTATGTACCTTGGGTGCATGTATGATTGGATAGCAGGCTAGCTTTCCAAGAGGGGTGGAAATGTGGTGGAAATGTCTACCACGCCTGCTATGGAAGACTTTCTTGACTCCTGGGAGGGCCTTGAAGGCAACAAAAACAGCCCTGAGGATGTGTACATTGCCCTCCCTTCCATTAAATTATTTTTGTGGTGTTTCTGAACACATCATGACATTGCCTAATTAACTTCATATACATTTATGAGAGATTAATCTGTAGGTGATAACCCTTAAACCCTATATATGACATGGTCACATCCTGTTGAAATAAAATTAATTCAGAATTTTGTATCTTAGAAACCTTTAAAATTTGAACCACAGGTAAGTGTTAGGAAAATTTGACCCTCCAGAAATAATAATAATAATGTAGCTCACCCTATCTCCCCAAGGACTCATTGTTCATGGTGGTGGGAATTGTTTGACATCAGCTGAAAGGGAAGTTCTGCATAAAGAGAAAAATGTATTATATATTAGATATGAAAGAATACTGTTTCTTTAAGGACAGATTTAGGACTTTGGAATGGGACATGTTTCTATGACTGGAAGAAAAAAAGCCCTCCCGTATTCATTGTTTAGTTGGAGTCCTTTTATTGGCAGAACAAGGGTAGCATAATGCTGTTCCTTTTAGTGACTTTTATAGAGAATGTGTCTACAATATTTGCAAACATCTCATAACAAGATAGTGACATAAGATATTTCTATTTTTAAATGTGTCCTAGTTTATTTTTTTATTTCAGAAAAAAAGCTTTGAATGTTGAATGTGTGTAAGTCTCCAGGAATGTAGCAAGTTGATAAAATCCCAGCCAAGTCCATCCTCCTTGCAGGGAAAAAAAAGCTGGAATTGCTTTTTATGGACATTTGTTTTGCAGCTTTCTACATCTTAAGGCAGAGAATAGCCAGGATAAGGTGCCAACCCAAAGGTTAGCTGAACATATTTCTTGAAATACTTTTGGCACAGTGGTGTGACTTCTAAGTGACATATTTAGTATATAAGAATGATATGTGAAGAAGTAATTATAATATTTGTTCATGATTTTATACCGATGAAGAAATTCCCTTTAAGGTCTAGATTTGATAACTAATGTGGCCTCAAAATTACATTCTTTTCAATCATGTATTTCTGTCTGTTGTTGTGTCTGTCTCTCAACATACACTTACTGTTTTAATTACTTTGTATACTGTTTAGGCTCCCAATAGTTTGCTTCATTTATTTAGAAATGATTATTTTTGCAAGACATCACTTGCTTTTATTCAAGGGACTTTAATTCATGGTCACCTGAAAGAAGTGTGAAGTGAACAGTGTTAAAATACAGTGCAATCTTATGGGCACTCAGCTGGATATACAGTAGGATTTATTTTTGAGTAAACATTCATAGGATTGCACTTTACCAGCACTCACTCACACACACACACAAAGGGGGAGGGGAGATGAATGTATCATTCATGATGTCTTAATTTTTCCAATGTCATTTCCAGCCTTCCTTGCAGCATACAGGCATATTGAGTTGCTGTGAGTTTTCCAGGCTGTATGGCCATGTTCCAGAATCATTCTCTCCTAATTCTTCACCCACATTTGTGGTAGGGATCTTCAGAGGTTGTTACAATGTGGGTGGAACGTCAGGAGGGATTGTTTCTGGAACATGGCCATACTGCCTGGAAAACTTACAGTATCCCAGTGATTCCAGCAATGAAAGCCTTCGACAATACATATTATTGGAGAACCATTGCCTCAGACTTTAGTTTATGAGTAATGCACCTAAACTTTCTAGAGGCTTTCCAATATTATGTACTATACTAAGGAATGTTTTTTATGCATTATCTTGATATACAATAATGATTTACTATTAATACAAGTATCTTAACTTCTAGGAATTTGGTGTGTGTGTGTATGTATGTGCATACACATGCAAATAAGCATTGTGAAACTTATGTGCTTAATTAAAGGGCCTTTTCAAAAGCTGCCATGGGATGTTGTCTACGCTGATTTGCTCATATTCTAATCTGACACCATAATCTGTCATGTAGTTGGAAACCTCTTTCAAAATCCAATGTCTGCTTTATTTATAATAGTCATTAGATTAATTTTCCAATTGACCTCTTCACTGCATATCTGAAATATGTATGCAGCATTTGGCACTGTCATTCCAATATGACAGAGGGAGCATTTGCACACTGAGCTGCTTAAAGATTAAGGGCCAGCTGCCCACAAGAAAGATTTATAAAAGCACATGGACAAGTTTTAGATTTGCACATTTAACCATTACCATTACTACTTGATATCTTGAATAAAGTAGTTGTTTTTCAAGATTGTGCATGTTTGGTTTAGTAAGGATATTTACATTCCTAGTTATCTCAACAAGTAACACACCTCTTAATATGAAAAGTCCCTATGTCAAACTCTCTCTCTCTCTCATGGCCCTCTAAGCAAAATTTCACCCAAAATTTTGATTAACACAAAGAATCCTCTAGGCAAGAGAGCAATACATAACTCTACTGGCTGAAAAAAAAATAGAAGTTGCAGTTGAAAACTAATTTTTCCAAGATCAGACCCATTTCTCCTTGCATATATGGGTGAAGAGCAATTATTCTGCATCTGTCTTTCTGAAAAGATGGGGCATGCCATAACATACAGATTAGGTGCTCAGTGGGCAAATATAGTGGTCTGGCAGTCTACACTTGTTTCATTGTCCCCATTGAAATATGTGCCATCAAATCTACTTCTGAAAAAACAAATATGAGGTTGCACTGTAAAGTTATTTTGCTTTATCCTTGAGTTGATGACTCTTATTAACATGCTAAAATAAACCCACTATTATTTGATAAATTATATTTTAGTCTTAAAAATGAGAAAGCTAAGCCTTTCTTTTTGTCTGTTTTGTACATTTCAAAGAAACTTTGTATGCAGAAAAATGGTATGTAGGTGATTGGGGAAGAATTGTAGCAGAAGGATTGGGAAAGGTTAAGAAATCATTTCCCCCCATTCTTCTTCTGCTGTTAATTACCCCTTATTGTTCATTATTTTGAAATAGATTATTATAGTAGAATGCTATGTGTGCTTCAGTTGGACCAGGAGAATGACAGAACTGCTTTTGTGTATTTGCAGCTGTATGTCAGCCTGGATGTAAACATGGTGAATGTGTTGGACCAAACAAATGCAAGTGTAATCCAGGATATACTGGGAAAACATGCAACCAAGGTAAGAAGACAAAAACAAACCCAAATCCTTCAGATCATCTGAAGATGCCAGCCACAGATGCAGGCGAAACATTAGCTACTTACTGTTTTGTTAAATCAGAGTTTTATTTCTTATCCACAAATTGAAAGAACAGGTGCAGACTCTGAATATTTGCATTATTAGTTCTTTAGGTAATCAGGGATCACTGAAATTTTAGGGACCTGGGGAGACAATGGTGAACGTTGATTGAGAAACTACGTTCCAATCCCTGCTCAGCCATGTAGTTGCACTGGGTCATCCTGGGCAAGACATACCCTCAGCTCCCAAAATCCGTTTGGTAGGTTCCTCTTTGGGTTGGCATTAGTAAGAAACATCTTGAAGACACACAGTAACAACAATGGAAAAGTCACATGGCTTGGTGGGTCCCCAAATCCATAATCTAATGACACATTTTTTATATGTCTGTTGTGTACGTTTTAATCAAACTATGCATGGAAAAAATATAGGTGACTGACTGGGGAGAGGTTGTGGAAGGATGGTGAAAGATTAAGAAATTATTATTTCCATCAATTTTCTGCTGTAAATTACCCCTTATTCTTTACTGTGGCATCTGTGATCTTCTTTTCTTGCCAAGTGCAGTATGTAAGGTGAGAGATGAACTGTCAGAGTGGTACTTTTCATTCACTTGAATTGAATTAGAATGTATATTATAGGGCTGGGCGGTTTCGTTCGTTAATTTCGTAATTCGTTATTAATTCGTTATTTTTTTTATAACGAAGCGATATTGAACCATTCAGGAGCAACTAAAAAACGAAACGAATTTTTCCAATTCGTTTCATAATTGTTTCGAAATTGTTTCGTAATTGTTTTGAAATTGTTTCGTTATTATTTCGTTATTATTTCCGTATGTCTGGTGCAAGTTTTATAGTTGTTGTTTGTTTTATCAGTGATAAAAATAAATTATCACACCAACAGTCAACAACAGAGGGAGAGGGAAGCTTCAGAAGTTCCCCCTGTCCCATTTGGAGGGTTTTTTAGCGTATTGCGCAATCGCGTCCGCCATTAACGAATCGATTCGTTATTGTTTTGAAATTGTTTCGTAATTTCTGAAATTTCGTAAATATCGAACTTTTTTAAAGAAAAATTTCGGAATTCTTTTAAATAACGAAACGCAAAAAACCCCTAAAAACGAATCGAGTTTAGAAGCAATTTTTTCCGTGGTTGGACAGCCCTAGTATATTATTCTCAAAGAGACTTACTTTGGAATTTTTCTTAATGCACTCAAATCCTATTCATAACATATTTAAGATAAGGTACTATTTTGAAGCTCTGAAGGTCTGCAGTGAGATCTTCACTTCAAAATTTTGATTTTGATGCACATAAGGAGTACCTTGTGCTTTGTGGAAAAATGACTAATACGTTGTGAAAAAAGAGGACATACATCACCAAAACAGAGAATGAAAGTAGCAACTATTTGTATAATATTTCATATTTTACACACACACATTTAGCAATTACTATGAAGAGAAATAGAGTACATATCACCACATTGAGAAAGCGTCTGATCAGAGGACCTATATGCCTATTCAGTCTATTGATCATTTACTAACTTTTGGTAGTCCAAGACTCCAGCAGGACTATTCTTCAAACAAAAGATGCCTACAAATAAAGCTTCAAAACCGCACATGATGTATTTTGTGCATTTTGTTTACTCCTTTGTGGATTTTGGATTTTATTTTGTTGCATTGTCAACATGGCTACCCCTGAATATATTTCAAACAGAAAATTGTGCTTGGACACCCCTTCAAACAGAAGACTGCCTGAAGTCAAAGCAAATGCTAATTTTGAAAAGTATTTGTGTAACATGTGCATATGTTGATTTCAATGCATACAATTATGTAAACTTACAAATGTAAAGGAATTCAATACAATGCATCTCATCATAGTGGGGGGAAATGGAGCCATGTGACCTATATAGTTATTTAGTCATCTGTTCTGGTGGTAACTTATGATAGGTAACTTCACAGCCCTTGGTTCTTTCCCTTTTTATAATTATCCTGAAACTGAATAAATGGTCCTTCAAACAGACAGTGTGGGCATTCTTGTACACTCCATATTTGTTGGACTAATGGTGCTTGAGCCTATACTACTTTGGAGTTGTAATCCAGAACACCTGGATATTGTCAGATGGCCTAGTTGTGAAAGAAGAAGATGCTTTCAAATTGAGAACTATACTTTAGCAGCCCTTTAATGGACAACTGTCATTTGTTTAGTAGGATACATAGCCCTCATAAGTTATTATTGAAATGTAATGTGCATATATTGTAAAGTGCAGGTAGCACCAGGTTCATGGAAAGTTCTGATAGACCGTTGGGGGGTTTCTTCATTGTACAAATAATATATTCAAACCAGCTATTTTCCCTTCCAGGACCAAATTAGGATGGAATATTTAATTCCCCTTTGTGTTTGCTAGAACCTGAGAAATCTGCTCAGATTATGATATCTTAATCTAATAAAAGTTCTGTTAGTGGCAATAAAATCAGATGAAACTATTCAACTGTGGCAGTTTATTTTAAGGGAACTAATAAATGTTGTTATCCAGGGAACTGCCATTTTTGTTCTTATCTTTATATAATCAGTGCCTGCATATGAGTACAGGTATAGCTATAGGATAGAAAGAGATACATGTAGATATAAATAAACGCACATTGGAATCTTGTATATAGAAAGTGAACGAAAATGATGGCGCATGAAATGCAACCTCTACATTTCCTTCTACTCATTTGAGACTAAATAAAGGAGTCATGAAATGGAGCCATGGTCTTTAAGTGACTTCATTACTTCTGAAAACTAATTACTCAACCTCCAAATTGTCCTTTTCCTGATTTACCTTGGCAGAGCTGTAGCAATTAAAATTGCTTGTGCTAGATGAACAAAATGTTTTAGTACATGATACCATCTGCACAGTACTGGGAGATTAAGACTGTAAGCCTATACACAGTTCCTTGGCAGTAACTTCCATAAAACCTACTATGGCTTGCTTTTGAGTAGTCAGGTATAGGATTGCATAGTTAATTAGTCAGTTCCTGTTCCCTGGGAGAGATTGCGCTTTAACCATTTAGGAAACAGAACGTCCATTGTGTACATACTTAGCACTTCTCCCTTGTTTTGCTACCATTTGGGTGGGTGGGAGAGAGGGAGACTGGCTTGTCGTGAATGAATTTGTAACAGGTCCGGAGAGACCGAAAGAGAGGGGGGGGGGGGGACTGGGATAGTATTTCAAAACATTCATTGAAATAATCACCGTTCAAACGAAACAGGTTTGTAAAAAATTCTGTCCTCAAACTAGAAATTATATCAGAAGATGTGTAGTCCTGAGCTTAATTTTTCTGAGATGATAGTTGTGGAACAGACCAACAAGTGCAGAAAAGGATCAGAGAGTTGGGAGGCAGGGCAGGTAGGTGGCCCAGGACTCAATAAATTTCCCCCACAATAGTTCTGGAAATTGAGTTTGGGTCTATAAAAGTCAGGTTTGGTTTTAGGAAAATCAGAGTTCATGAAAACGTAATTTCCTTGATTGAAGTTTCTGCTCATACAGAGGTCTTACCTGTTGGAGATCTTGTGTTCAGTGTAATGTTGCAAGAATAGCTCTTCATGCAGAAAAAGAACATATTATATGGCTGGAAGTATTCATGCTCTATTGCAGTGAATGCAAAATTCAGCTCACTGTATGAATGGAAGAGGTAGTACGAATGTAGGAGCACTCAAAATGGAACCAGAAGGTTTCGTCTGAACAGTGGAACAATTGTGCCTACAAAACATTGCTTAATTAATTACTGAATTATTTTTTTTCATAAAACTTCATGTTAATGATATTTCTCTACTTACATCTTTTTTCTCATTGTGTCTGCCAAAAAACCCCCACAACTTTGCAATTTTTCAAATTTAAGCATTTTCCCATTATCCCCATATGTATGTATGTATGTGTGTGTGTGTGTGTGTATATTCGTTTAGCATTATTTGCTTTCTTTATGTATGTATATGTGTGTGTATGTGTGTGTGTGTGTGTATATATATATATATATATATATATATATATATATTCATTTAGCATCATTTGCTTTCTGTGTGATTATATTCAAAATCAAACACATGTATCTCAATGACTGTGGCTGCAATCTTCAGAATCAACATTCTTCATAAGTTGTAAGAATATACCATATTATCTTTGATGTCCTGGGAAATACTTGCTCCGGGGCTCAGTTCTGTTTCATGGTTAGGTCACCTGTTGAAAAACAGGGAGAGGGGAGGGAAGCCCCACTCCTTTGGTGCAAATTGAATATTTGCTATCAGCATCTGATATAATACTCCACCATGTCATTTTACTGGGTCTTCCTCCTGCTCTTTATTGGATTTAACTTAAAACAGAAAAACAGGGCAGAAAAACATGGACAAAAACATCTGAGTCATCTGAAGATCAAATCAACCACACATGTCTTAAATAAATTGTACAAAAGAAGATCAAGTATCCTGTGACAATACGTCATTTCATAAACATTAATGAGTAGTTGGAAGAACAAATGTCTTTTTGTTTGCATTGACAAAAGGAATAAAATGAAGCCAAATTCTAGAAGTTGCGTGTTCTTCATTATTCGTTATGTGTTTTACTTAGTTGACTGGGTATTTCCATTAAGGCACTGCCCATCTTACCAGGGTGAGCAGTTGCGGCAGTGGGCACCCGCCGGACCAACATGGCATTTCCCAGAAGCTCCCTCTGCAGCTGGAAAGCTTCCCACTGGTCAGCCTATCAGCGGCAGGCCCCACCAGCTGATTGGCCAGGTCTGGCCACCACTTGATCCCCCAGGCTGCCAGGGGCCGCTTGCAGGCAGTTTGCCTGCTTTGACTGAACCATCCCCCCCCCCCCACTGCATATATGTTTGGTTTTGTTGTAGTTCTTATTTAGCTCTGTCCTTTGTTACAACTTTCAGGTTGGCGTGTGGCATGGCCCTGGATTTGGCTTGCTCATCCCCCCCATCAGAAGGGGGGGAGCGTCTGGTGGTTACCAGGGGTGCAGAAGAAACAGTGGCCCAGTATTGTGCCGACAGCACCCCCTGGCATGGAGAGCGGTATTGGCCAGTAGTGGACTATCCAATCCATTATCCAGGACCCATGCATGGCTGCCAACCCTGTTCCTGTTACCAATAAACAGTTGTGGCCATTTCTTATCCCAACTCTCTCAGTGTGTATCATCTTTGTTTTGGCTGGTGGGAGGTGTTGTCAGCCATCCACATGCAAATTGAAGATTCCATAAATCCTGTTTCATTCATCTACAGAAATTACTGCTCTCCTCCAATATTTTACAATTAGCATCTGAGCTGACAAACTCATAAAAGAAATCAGGATTTTCTGAGATAAGATTAAATTGTTGCCATGAAACAACAAAAGTGAAAAGTCAACATTTTGAGTCGTAATTTTAACATCCCTCTATAGCACTTATTTCCAAAACTACTGCCACATGTGGAGTTGACCCTCATATTGTCTTCAGTTTTTATTAATTTTTAGGTATATACTGTAAACACATATGCCATGTACCATCTGTTTAGCATTTTTTGAGAATGTTTTTTATACTTTAGTGGATCTTGATCTGTTGCTTTTCTTATGCCTTCTCCTCAACTGGTGAAGTCGAACATCTGTATGCAAGCTCATATGACTGGCCAAGTGAACCGCCTTTTTTCAGCCCTGTGGAACATCATGCAACAAAGTTTCCATGGAGGGGTGAGGAAAATCCTTTTCTTCAGGTGGTACATTGCTTCCACCTGCACGGCTTGAAACCTACAATGGAACCTCTTGCAAATATGCTGAAAGGACAATGAACTTCTGGCTGCTACATGAAAGCCCTCTGTATGCTTGGCATGCAATGCAACTCAACATTGACACTTTCTTGAGGCTGTAAACCTCTGTTCTAGAAAAGCTTGACCTTTGACAATTCTCTTTTATTTGTGCTTGCGCTTCAGACTTTTGGAATACATACTTCTTTTTCTCAGCTCCCCTTTAAACCAAGAAATATGTAGTTTACTTAGACAGGTTTAAGAATATGGGAACAAGAACTGTGATTGTATTTTGTTCTTGTTCATGTCCCTATTTTATTTCCTACCAGAGATATTAACACCTGTTTTGGCATGTAAAATGAAGATGTGTAAAATGTATTGTGGAACTGCCAGTAACAGCAAATAATGCTGTTCCTGGTTTTATTTGCTTTCCTGTTACAGGTATTAATATTTGCAGATCCGGAAATTTAGACAAGTCTTTGCATATGCAAGGTCTTTGACTCAAACCTTGTCATGTCCAGTTAGCAGAATATGCAGAACACAAGAAACTGTCCTATTTCAAGTCCTCACTTTTGTCTGTGCAGTTCAGAAAATAATAACAATAATACCTCCGCTGAGTGACCATGGGTCTCCAGCTTTCAGGTATAAGTGGTTCTAGATCTTTTTGGAGATGCTAGATTCAGATAATAACTGATGGGATAGAATTCTGCTTGAGAATATGCAAAGCCACTGTCAGCAGCAATGGGCAATGATGAGCCTTCTCCAACAATGGTTCTCTCCAGATGCACTGAACTGCAACTCCATCATTCGTATCCAGCGTGGTCCAGCTATCTGCCATTGCTACCTAGGAATGGTGAGAGGCACAATGTAATAGATCTGGAAGGCACCAGGATGTGGTAGGCTGGGATAGAAGGACTAATAAGCTGACATGACGTCAGGCAACTTTCTTGCTCCCTGTTTGTTTTACAAAAAGTCATATGCCTCAATATCATTTCAGTATATATTCCTCAGAGAGTATTGCACTTGACTACATATTTGTAAAATATCATTAAGTAAGAATCATTCTTATGTCCCTGAGCTGTGCTCCTATCTTTTATTCGTTCACTGGTTCACTAGCAAGTCACATGAAAAAAGGACCAATAGTAGCTTTAAGACCAGGGGAAGGGAGGCTTTACTGGACAGAATGTCTTTTGCATTCTGTCATCGCTCTGTGCTTTATCCCTCTTTGCGGATTGCACATCCAATCCTGAAAGCCACCCACATGGTGTCTGGTAGCTGGTGCTCCTTCTTCTCACTAGTATTCTCGGAGATAGTGAGCATGGAGAAGGAACACATAGTTTTGGGCCTTACAGGATATAGAAGTCAACCTCAAGAAATACCTCATGATACAACACACAGGGTTCTCCTTTGAAGCATAGCAGCTTTACAGCATCTGGGGTATGGAGATGAAAAGTAAGAATGTTATTATGTGCTTATGTGAAGGTCACCTTTCATTGTAATATCCCAGACATGGGGAAACTTTTTTGCCTTGAGACTGGGAGTTCAGGGCTGAGCCAGGAGAGAGGGGGACCGTTTGCGCACTGGGCAGAACAGACCTGCGAGGGGTAGGGTCTGGGAGGGAGCAGGGCAGGGCCTGGGTCATCCTCAGATTGTCCTCCCAGCATAAGGATGAAGCTGCTTGCCCCATCCTTATGCCAGGAGGAAGGCAGGACAAGCAATGATTGCCCTGATCCTCCTCCCAATCCTCGGGCTGTCCTCTTGGCATTATGCCAGGAGGAGGGTGAGACAGGTGACAGCTGAGGGTGCTCCGGAGGGCTCTTCCTTGATCTGTCTTCCTGGCATATGGATGGGGTCACTCGCACCATCCTTGTGTCGGGAGAAGCGTGAGACACACAGTGGCTTAGAATGCTCCAGCTACTGCATGCCTGCCACTCCCATCTTTTTGGCATAAGGATGCAGTAGGCAGCTGTGTCCTTATACCAATAGGACCGGGAAAATGAGGAGGGTCTGAGGTAAGCACCCAGGGGGCTGCATCTGGCCCCCAGGCCTTAGTTTGCCCATGCCTGTAATATACAGTAGACCAGTCTTTATTGAAGATGGCCTATTGGCTGACCAGCTTGTACACCAGCAATTAGTACCATAATATGGAAATACAGTGACACATAACCAGTTCTCTTCTCTAAAGATTGATATGCAATCACATTAACCATCTCTTTTCTTTCAGTGCAGTGCCTAAGCTTAGCTGCCTGTACTTGCATTGAGACTGCTTTCTCCAAATGCCACAGCGCCCAATCTGCTTTTTCATGCGCAGCTTTGATGTGATGATACTGTGTTTTTGTTGCTGAGTTTCACACCTCCATCTTGCCCATTAAATTGTAGCATTTAAATGTGAATGACTTCATTGCCAAACTGTCTAGTTTGACATAATGAAGGAAAATTTCAGCAGCATAAATTAAATTCATCAAAACAACTCTCAAATCCTATTAAAAGCTTCACGGTGGATTGTCAGTGATGTGCACAAGCTTTAGGAGTCTGAGTCTTTGTAACTATTCATCGTAAAGGGTCCAAATGGCAAAGTTCTGCTTCTCCACCCCACACCCATTCTGTTTCATGATCTTTTTTCAAGACCACTCTGTGTGTGTATTTGTGTATTTGTGTGCACACCCAGCACTTCATTAAGAATTATCTGGTGCTAGGCTTGTTCTTCTGTTTGTGCCATTGTCCAGTGTGAACATATCTTGCCAGCTTTGGGCTAAATCTATTCAAAAATAGGCAGTTTTATCTTTAACAGTAGGATGTATAATGAAAAGTTTATTGTGTGTGGTGTCATGGCTAAAAGTATGAGCTGCAAATCAAGAAGTTATTGCCATGAAGATATTAATGTACGTCTCTCTCTCTCTGGAATATTGAGATAATAATAGTGATATACTTCACCTAGCGTTTTCATCAAGATTTTTGCTACATACTGTAATTATTTTGTTATGAAGATGATTAAGATGATGACATTAGAATGAGAGATAATTCTAAGACATTAGAAGAAGAGATAATTCTATGATGAGACGTTTTATTACAGAGATGACCACACTAGACATTTTCTAGGCAATTGATTTTTTTTCAGGTTTTGTCACACTGATCCAGCAGTTTCTCAAGTCTCTTCTGACACAAAAAACCCACCACATTTAGCATCCCCTATTTCTTATATTAAGTTTGTGATGCTTCCTAGTGTTGCTTAAATTAAAAAGGCAGTAAATGAATGTTGTTCAAATGAGACATTGCCCCAATGTATAGTTATACAACATCCTATTAATTACCACATTTTTGTTTTAAAAAAGGATATGAACATATCTTATCCCTTAGGCTGGATTTTCTTTTTTCATCTACCTTTTTTTTCTTTTTTAAATTGATTACCTGTCAAGTTTGAAATAATTTCATTTTAAGGGAAACAACTTTGCAGTTTAGACATGTATATTTGTCTGTAGTGAAATCTATCCTAGGGGCTTACTAAAGAAATGTTTGGCAAGTTTTTTTTTTAAAAAAATAACAGATCAAGATTTAGCCGTAAAACACAGTAGATCTATTTAAATACATGTGTCTCAAGGAGTCATCACTATCAGAAGTACCATTAATTTTACTGGATTTATTAGAATAGGACTTAAGCTGCATACATGCTGTAGGATTAAAGAAGTTTGATATCACTTTAACTGGTGTTGCTCAATGCTGGGTAGTCATGGGAGCTGTAGTTTTACAATGTCTTTAGCCTTCTCTACCAAAGAGCACCAGTGCCTCAACAAACTTAAAATCCCAGGATTCTATAGTATTGAGCCCTGTTATGCACTGTTCTGCCCCCATGTTATCCTAACTACTGGGAAGGTGAATTGGCTGCTTAGGGAACAGATTAGAGACTATATAGTTCAGTGGTTCTCAATCTGGGGTCCCCAGATATTTTTGGCCTACAACTCTCAGAAATCCCAGCCAGTTTACCAGCTGTTAGGATTTTTGGGAGTTGAATGCCAAAAATGTCAGGACCCAGAAGCCTTAATTAAGCCAAACACAAGATAAGTGTTCAAAACACAGCTTTATTGTACAAAAATAGTCTTTCAAAGCACTTAACTTCAGTGCAAAGTGTCCCAGGAGTAATTTGGCATCAAAAATAAAGCGATACCAGTAACAAAAATATAACCCAGATTATAGCGCTGCCTTATAATCCGGATTAAACTCAAAGTTAAGCAAATCGCTTGAAAGTTGGTATAGCACAAAAACACAGTCACGGAAGAAAGAAAAACGAAGTCCCAAAGCGAGGAATTGTTCAAGCACAGAGTTATAAGAGTTCAAAGTCCAGAAAGCCAAAAACAATAGTCAAACCGGTCCATGGTCAAGCCGTTGGTAAACAAACGCTGGAATGCAGGAATCACCGAGGAACAGGAATTCAGGAACACACAAAGCTGTAGCCCAAGGACCCAAATGCAAGAGTTGGCAGTACAAAGAGTTATGTTCAATAAATACGCTTTGCCTTCTGCAAAGTATCATGCAAACAGAACCCACTTTTATCTCAAAGTTCCTCATCAGAGCTTGATGAGCTCCCCACCCTTTCCTCATTGCTCTCAGCTACCCCCAACCCCGCAGCTGAATCCGAGCGCCCATCCCTCCACCTCTGCCAGCGTCTGCTAAGACTTAGATCCTGCCAAGAGGTCCCTGGTTGCCAATCCTCAGTGAACCCCTCAAATTCCTCACTGGAGGTGGGTTGGTTACAAATGTCCCTTATTTGTTGAACACGGGTCCAATCTAATTCCTCCTCTTCCGTATCACTCCCAGACCCAGAACTCCTTTCAAACCCCAGGAAGTCCTCATCCTCTGTTGGCGCACTAAGTATTTCCCGGATGCGCTTCCTTTGCAATTGCCCTTTGGACTCCGGATCGTGAGCAGCCCTCTTTACACCTCTGCTCTCCTCCCCATCCCCCATTTCGCAATCCGAGAAGCCTTGAAACGTGTCAGTATCACTTGGAGCCATAATGATTTCCCTAATGTGCTTTCGCTGTTGTTCTCCCTCCGACTCCTGAGCAGACCTTTTCTCCCTGCTACCACAAGTAGCAACGCTACCAACATGCTGAACTACAACTAAAAACATCTGGGGACCCCAGGCTGAGAACCACTGATATAGTTGAATCAAACAGGACTTAATTAACCAACAAAACTTTTAGACTTTCTCTCCTCCTGAGTCTCACTACAAAGTCTTTATGAGGAGAGATAAAATCTCAGAGATAGACACAGTTCTGGCCGAAGTGATGCTCTTACATCTTTATATCTTATTGTCTCTTGACAACTAACCCTGACAATTAACATTGTGTGAAACTGCATTAAGTCTGCAGTGTAGATGCAACCTTAGTTTTGTTTCTGATATTCTTTTTTAAAATGCCTTTGTTTCTGATATTCTTTTTAAAAATGCTTGCCTTCATCAGACAACCAACTTTAAACATAATTAAGACTTACTTGGTGCACATTTCAGCTATAGTTTGCACCAACCTAGGTTAAGATTATACTTAATCCATAGGTTAAGGCAGAATTAATCAAAAATCTGAAAAATTACTTTTTGACAGCCCTCAGAACCTCACCAGTTGACTGGCAAATTCTATGAGTTGTAGTCAAAAAAGTAACTTCCCAAGTCTGGAACTGATGTGAATGGGAAACAAAGATAATAAAAGTGTGTCTAATCTCACTGTTACGAGATCTCGTAGCATTTTGTTCATACTGTCCTTCTGCATATAGGAAAATATTTTATATTAATCAGTTTAGGGTCCAATATCCCTGTTAGAAAGGAACCCAATAGGGGCCATCTCCTGGAATTTTCAAAATGGTAATATTTAAACCCTGTTTTCTTTTTGTTTCCTCTTTCTCTGTTTAGATCTCAATGAATGTGGACTGAAACCAAGGCCATGCAAACATCGATGCATGAACACCTATGGCAGCTACAAGTGTTACTGTCTAAATGGATATATGCTTATGCCTGATGGATCATGTTCTAGTATGTCAAGGCCCTTCTTGCTTATTGTTTAAAAAGCAAGAGAAACCATTTTTATATGTACACCATAAACTTTGCTGAATTAAACAAAAAGAAATTATTTTTTAGTTGAATGTAGCCATTCCTTGACTCACAATTATTACATTTGGGAATGTAATTATGCAGCGCCTTAAAGACATGGGTGTGTCACTGACTTTGTAAATGCAACCCACCTAAATTTTCATGTTCCTGTTGGCTTCTTTGTTTGAAAATTCTTTCTTAAATGCCACAGAGACACGGTTTTTTCATACTCCCCTAAAAGTGAATATTTTGAATACTTACCACATCAAGGACAGGAGAGATAAGAGGATTTTTTTTGTGATGATGCAGAATTTTAGAAGACTTTCCAAGTAAGATAAAACACTGCTTTTTCCTATGAGCAGAGCTCTTTTTACAAAGCTTTTATTTTACTGAAAGATCCAGTTTGTGAAAACACTTACACCTTACTTGTGCAAAATCTATTGTGCCAGCAGAACCAAATCTAATGTTAGCAGTACAGTTTTCTATTAAGTAACTGTAATACATATTTGGTGCATAGTTGCTCTGTGCTACCACTTAAATCAAGAGTACTTGCCTTAAAAGGGTTTTGTTTTTTTGCTCCATAGCTATGTTTGTTCTTCAGGAACTTCATGCCTTTTTCTATTAATATCAACTATATTTTGACTACTGGTTTCCTGAATTCCAATTTTTTACTTTTACATTATTAAAAAAAAACACCAATAAAATGCAATCTGACATGAGATTTTTGAAATGATATTTCCACAGATACCCTTACGTGTTCCATGGCAAATTGTCAGTATGGCTGCGATGTAGTGAAAGGGGAGATTCGATGCCGCTGTCCATCTCCAGGTTTACAACTGGCATCTGATGGCAGAACTTGCATAGGTATGTCACAAATACATTTGTGTCTTTTTATTCTTTTTCTCCCATGAGCAATGAGACATTCTGAGGAGATGTCCCTGTTAGTATTCACATATGAGTAACATAAAAAGTCCTTATAGTGATCTATTTATTTGCCAATATTATTTGGATGCAGGAGCCCCCGGTGGCACAATGGGCTAAACCCTCGTGCCGGCAGGACTGCTGACTGAAAGATCGGTTGTTCAAATCTGGGAAGCAGGGTGAGCTCCTGTCTGTCAGCTCCCACTTCCCATGTGGGGATATGATAGAAACCTCCCACAGGATGGGAAAGCATCCGGGTGTCCCCAGGGCAACATCCTTGCAGACAGCCAATTCTCTCACACCAGAAACAAGTTGCTCCTGACATGGAAAAAAATGGAATGCAAGAAGAACAATATTGGCAGAATCAGATTCACAGCAGTAGCAGTCCCTTCCTTGATTCATAATGATTTATGTCATCATTGTTATTTTAGCAATTGTTGCAGTATATCTTCAATTCAAACATATAGGAATAGGAATAAGTCTTTATGGAGTTGTGATAATACTCAGAGTCATGTTGAAGGGCCTGGAATATGCCAAGAGATGACACATTTTGCTGGATGTGGATAAATGAAATGGTCCTAGGACTCTCTATACATACCTAAATCTATGGATGTTTAAGTCTCATTATATATGATGGCATATTAAAATGGCAAAATCACAGTTTGCTTTTTGGATTTTTTAAATTTTGGAATAATTTCAAGACTTGAATATGAAGGAACAGGAAGAGATTTCTACACAGTCCTTACCTTTTATCTTTAACTGAGGTGACCAACATTGCAGAATTAGTACTTTCATTTCCTGTTTGAAGATAACCCACAAAAATAGAGATTCAGTGCTAAGTCCTGAGGTCTGGCATTCCTTGTCCTGAGGACATTTCATAGTTGACAGTATAAATAAATTAATGAAATCAATGTCCTTTGTTTGTGTGGAGATAACATTTGACAAGCAAGAGAAAAAGAAAAGTGGAGTATTGATATGCCTTAAAATTAAATCAGTTTTTCTGCATGTTAGCATGTAATATAATCCCATAACGAAAGGTCATTTCCAGATAAGATTTAGGATCTTTCAGCTTTTCTAAAATAAGCAGACCAGGGCTTCCCAGATACTAGTAATTCATGTGTATACACACGTGTGTGCTGCACCCAGCCAATATTGTGGCCCTTGGGACTGAAAAGGTTATGAACTCCTGATATAAAGCTTATTCTTGCAAATAATTCGTGCTTTTCTATTTGTAGATGTTGATGAATGTGCCACTGGGAGAGTTACTTGTCCCCGATTCAGGAAATGTGTCAACACTTTTGGAAGTTATATTTGCAAATGTCACAAAGGTTTCGATTTGATGTACATTGGAGGCAAATACCAGTGCCACGGTAATTAAACTAATGTAAACAGAGCAATTCCTGGAGGAGCACTGTGAACATACATTTGCATTTTGAAATCATATTCATCTGCTTTACAGAAGAACTGTATGCAATGGGAACAAGGACCTAAGATTGCTACAACTTTCTGGAATGTCCATAAACTGCATGCATTGTTTTATCATGATTTTTGATATCTCCCACTACTAGCAATCATATTAGAATGAGTCATGTGCATTCAGGGTAAACCTTGATTCGTTTGTATCTTGGCTTTCGGTGGGCCCCCCGATCTGTTCAACTGAGCCTCCTGAAATCATATATTTCGGGTGCGGAAAGATTCGTTTTCTTTTGGCCCATTATTGGGGAGGGGGGCTTCCCACCCAGGTTCCCCTTCCCAGTGCATGCTTTTGGACCTTCATCTGGGGAGTCAAAGGGCTCCCTGGCTGGTGCTGAAGACCCGTTATGTTTACTGCTGGTGGCCTTGCTCCATAACCCAGAGTGTAGGTCCAAAGTGCCTGCAAGGGTCTACATCCAAGTGTTGAGTAAACAACGCTCCTTACTAAGTGTTTGGCTACAGACTCTTGCAGGCCCGGGTGCTTTGGGCCAATGTGTGTGGCAATCGATCCGAAAAGCATGCTTGGAGCTGGTATCCGCTCCCGTCTGCCTTTTGTATTGAGTATATTTTTGTTCCAGGAGGGGCCTTCCCGTTCCGTGCCATCCGAATAGACAGAACAAAATGAAAACACAAATCAAATGAATAATATAGATTCCAGGCCCATGACTAATTAGTATATTTCTTCATCACTGTCCCCCTTCACCTGTTGCCCCAGGGGATGTGATGGGAGTAGAAAAGTGGATCTAATTCCATTCATTCTCCCTTTCTCGTTAAAAGAAACCTCTCTCAGCAGAATTCTCAAAGCAGTTGCTATTTAACTATAATTGCATAGGAGTTGTTTTTAATTCCCCAAGAGTAATTATGTATAATGCAATTTAGAACTAAATTTTTAGAACCCTTGCCTTTCACTGTGACTGGCATTTCTGTCGCTGGGAACCTGATTTTGATGGTAATGAATGTTCTTGTTCACAGTCATCTTACTTAAAAGAAGACAGGTTCCACTTCGATTTGTATGTTGTGGAATACTAATTTTGGATCTGCTGAGATTTAGGGGCTGAGAAGCGATAGGAATAATATTTATTTTTCACGACTGCAAATTCTTTCTGTAGTGAAATAATTTGTAAAGCTTTGAAATTTTAATGTAGCTCTTATTTTTTCCATAAAATAATTTAAGTTCCCTTAATGAGATGTATTACCAAGGAAGGCTTATGCACATAGAAAAGCTTATAGTTAGCAGAAGAACTTTTCAGACAATCCCTGTGTAAACATATATCAGCGTTTGCATTTATTAGAGGAATAAGAGCTTTTCACCAGCTTCAATCCTTGAAAAAATGTAATTTGAGGGATCATCACTGTATGGTACACTTGACTGAGTATTGCGATAAGATTTTTTGACATGCAGAATGGCAATAAACTGGCACTAACACAGATCATTAATTCAGTTTTATCCATACCTGAATGATGCATTTATCTGTGATTGGTGGTGGTTGTGGAACTGACCATATTTCTTATCAGCATTTTGGAAAAGCACTGTAAACTTCACCAGTAAAAAATCTCCAATGTGAATTTTCCTTCCTCAGAATACTTATTTTAGAATGAGGGAGGCACTCATGTCCCAAAACTATGACTCAGTTTATAGCTAAGTATGAGAACAATTTAGAGTTTATGCCCTACTTTGGAAGGGCCAGTATTCATTGACTTGAATGGCAAAGATACATTGGTTAGGCTGGTAGGACTGATAGCCACTGTTGGTGAATATCCAAGACTTAATTTACTTTAGTCACTAGCCTGGTTTGATGAGAACTGTGTTTCCTTTCCAATTTTAGATAAACAGCTAACAATTGGCATGGTTACATTTCTGTCCCCACCCCTCCACTCCCATCTCTAGATGACCCATCTCTAGTCATATTCTAATATGGTATTTGTTTATAACTAGTATGTGGTGCAGTGGTTTGAGTGTTGGACTGCAACACTGGAGAGCAGGGTTCAAATGGCCAGTTGATAAAAAAAAACCCACTGGGTGACCTTGGGCCAATCTCTCTCTCTCTCAGCCTCAAACAAACTCCGAACAAATCTTGCTAATAAAACCCTGTGATTGGGTTGCTATAGGTCACTGACAACTTGAGGGCATACAACTAAGAATACCTAAATGTTGATATGCTTTAGAACAGGGGTCCTCAAACTAAGGCCCGGGGGCCGGATGCGGCCCTCCAAGGTAATTTACCCGGCCCTCGCTCAGGGTCAACCTAAGTCTGTAACAACTCAAAAGCACACAACAATAACAACAATCCTATCTCATCAGCCAAAAGCAGGACCACACTTCCCATTGAAATACTAATAAATTTATATTTGTTAAAATATAAATATTTGTTAAAATTATTCTTCATTATTTATTGTTCTTAAGTGGCTTTTGCACTACAAATAAGATATGTGCAGTGTGCATAGGAATTCATTCATTTTTTTTCCAAATTATAATCCGGCCCTCCAACACTTTGAGGGACTGTGACCTGGCCCTCTGTTTAAAAAGTTTGAGGACCCCTGCTTTAGAACATGTATCCATTTAAAAATAGTGCAGATGACATCTGTCTTCTAGATATATTGATGAACATTTGCAGATCGCATTTTTGTGCCATCGATGGCACAATATTCCAGTCCAAATATTCAAATCACCATTGTTCCTTTCATGTTCATCAATTATGGCACACTTACTCCTCTTTTTCTAATTTTATGATGTTACTTTTTTTTTTTTGCGAGAGACCTCTTGTGAATCACCAAATTACAAATCCCAGGAATACATAAGATGAATCAATGGCAGTTAAAGTGGTATCAAAGTGATATAATTGTGCAGTGTGAAAGATCCTAGAACTAGGTTTCTCCTTGTCATATAGGGTACTTTTTTTTCCATAACCATGAAAGAGAGTTTTTGAAAATTTTCATGTTTCTTTTCTCTGCCACTCACAATTCAAATGCCCTCAGAAATAATAAGAAAATTGAATCATTTTTCTTTGGTAGCCACTACAAAAACTCAAATAGTCTTTTAAAATCCTGTAGTGAACTAAAGTGTAGCTGCAGAAGGTCACATCCAAAGCTCACTTGGAATATGTTGGTAGGGGGCTGGATGACAAAATGCCACTAGCAATGCTAGTAATGACTAGCATTAAAATATTTCAAAATGAGAATATGGTTTTGTTTACATTTAATGTGATTCATATAACTTGATTAATATGAATACATTATAACTTGCATCACCTATAAAATACTTTTCTACTTTGTTTTCCTGTTGCAGATATAGATGAATGCTCCCTTGGGCAATATCAGTGTGGCAGTTTTGCACAATGTTACAACACACAGGGATCTTACAAATGTAAATGCAAAGACGGATACAGAGGTGATGGAATGAACTGCATAAGTACGTAATGAGCCTTTTCATCTTTCATTCCAGTTCCAAACGACATGGGACGAACAATTTACTGTGCATTAAATTTTGTAGTCTGCTTGTGTCCATCTCAGTTTCACTGAGCAATTTTAAAGGAATGGGTGGTATATTTAAAGTTTTATGAGCATTGATACACCAGTGTAAAAATACATTTCCTCAAGCTCATTTCATTTTTAGAATTGAAATCCTGTGAACCCAGTTTGCACTTTCATTCTATACATTGCTCCGATTGTTTTAATGTTTACAGTCTGCAGTTTGCTTTTAGCAAGAGAGTGATTTGGATTCCTAAATCTTTGCTGTATGTCATGGCATGTGTGGTTGCTCTCAGTTGTTAACTTGTGTGAGTGAACTTTGCAATCAATGCCTCAATGCTATTATATTGATCATCCAGTAAGTAAAGTTCACTGATCACTCCAAAGAAGGGTTCCATTCTTCCTTTCTTTGATGTAAAAACTACTTTGATGTCTTTTCTAGTCATTTTAGTTTTCCTGTTGACACAGATGGACTATAATAGATCATTTTCTTAAGCTAAATGAGAGCTTTTGCAGTTCAAACTGCTAGGTTGGCAGAAGCTGGAGCTAACAGCAGGAGCTCACCCTGTTCCCCAGATTCAAACTGCCAACTTTTCAGTCAGCAAGTTCAGCAGCTCAGCAGTTTAACCCGCAGCAGCACCAGGGGCTCCTTTCCATAGTATTAAGCCATGACAATTAAAGTGGTGTCAAACTGCATTAATTTAACTGTGTAGATGCTGCCCAGATCTGCCTCTCATACACAGCTGCTTCCCAGAAGAGCAGTAACTTTATTTATGCTGAACTTCTAAGGCTGGGTGTGGAGCTAGATACTGTTGGCCACAAATCCCCACTGGTCCCTATCAGCATAACCAATGATCATCCATGATGGGTTAAACTTGGGCAACATCTGGATGACCACAAATTTCTCTTAGAATAGGTTGCATGGCATAATTGCAAATGAGCTTCAAGGCCACCCAGTTGTTTACTGCATGCATTTGGCAGCATATGATTTAAGTGAGATCTAAGCATTGTGCAAGTAAAGGTGTTTGGCTGTTCCTAGGCTTTACTTTTTAGAAGTAAATTTTTGCATGTGAACAACATGAGTAAGAATGATGTTCAGTGAAATTTGGAAAGAAGTGGGATTGCTAGTGCCCTCACTTTTGAATTATGTACAAACTAGAAGTTGGTCATGCGATATGCATGTACGAGTTTGATGGATTTGAACCAATGATTTGATGATGGAGATCTCTTTCTTTTGAGAACTCAGACAGTAGCCTCGCTGATAAGTACTAAATCTTTCACCAGCTTTCGCTGCTATTGAAAATGAGACGGGCTTTGGCTCAGTTGAGGCACATGGCAGAAGTGAACAGGATCCTTTTAATGTGGTTCTCTCTGAGACGGCATCTCAGAGGGAGATGTGGGGTAAGGGACTGTCTCTGTGTGTCTTGATACAGTTCCCAATGCAGTGGAGATCCAATCCTTGGTAGCGTTTTTTCAGGGTAGAAAGCCAATATAAGCTTTGCAATGAATTATAAATAGCAGTAGATTACATTGTCTACTAATTTATATGTGTGGGAAAGTGAGATGGTAATTTAGCTTTTAATGTAGACGCTCTTAGAGTGTAATCCTCTGCAGGCTGTTGAATTCCTGTTGTCCTGATTAATTTAGAACAACCTCAGTATCTTAAATGTCATAAAGATTGGCATTTGTACTATCTTAAGCCTAGAGTTTTAAAAAAGTATACTAGAGAATTGACATTACAGGACACATTACACATGCTGAAAATGTTTTTTGTTTTGTTTTAGATTTTGGAATTCTTGTATTTGCATATATGTACACAATGAGATATCTTGGAGACAGGACCTAGGCCTAAACATAAAATTCATTTATGTTTCACATAGACTTTACACACATAGACCAAAAGTATTTTTGTAATATATAATAATTCGGTGCATGAAACTATTTTAGTGTACCCTGAAACCAACAGAAAGCAAAGGTTTCACTATCTCAGATACAATTGTGGATTATTTTGGATTTTTTCGCATTAGCGACAGGTATGTGTAAAGTTCTAGAATAATACTTTGAGATAACCCTATTCTGAAAGGAGAGTTCAGTTGTTACCATCAGCCCTGCATTTAGTAGAATTTGCTTATTTGCTTTGCACATAGAGATGACCTTTTTCTCCATCTCCCCTGATCTACAGCTATTCCCAAAGTCATGATTGATCCATCTGGCCCATATCACGTATTTAAAGGCAACACAACCTTTCCTAAAGGCGGTGGTGGCATGAATAATAGGATACCTGATGCTGGTATTACAAGACAACCCATCAAACCACCACATATACCAGCCATAGCTACAGCAAAGCCTACTCCTAGGACAATAAGGCCAACCCAAAGGCCAACTGTAAAGCCAACACAAAAGACATTCACCAGGTTTGTAACAAAGCCTGCAACAACCAGACCAGCTTTGAAGCCAGTGACAAGACCGCCACCAGTGACAAGACCTCCACCAGTGACAAGACCTCCAACACCACCTCCACCCAAGCCTATCACAACAAGAATATCAAGAGTTACAACTCCAGAACCACTACATGAAACAACGATTCAGCCAGGTTTTACAGCTGACAACAGCATACCAATAGATCCCCAGAAACCACGTGGGGATGTGTTCAGTAAGTAGCACTGATTTTGTATTTTATACCAATAAGGTGTGAAAAGATGTCAGTGGGAAACTTCAGACATCTCATACAATATCTAAAGCTTTAAAGTAGTAGTAGCAGCTGTGCTTTGACGTTTTTGCTCCAAGCTTGGTAATGTAAAAAAAGCTCATAAATCAAGCATACTGTTCCACATGTTTAAGATGTTGTGATTCTGGTATATTACATGGCTGCCTGGAATTTATTATGCTTTCTGATCCTTGACACATTTGACATGGATGTTTGACAACATCTAGTGGGTATTTAAGGAAGAAGTAGATTATAATTTCAGAGCCTCAGCATTAGACTTAGGACCTCATCATATGGATGTTTTCCCTGTGTTCTCTCCATTTTCGCACACTGGTGAAACATATGATGCAGCCATGATGCAGGACCACTTCTGGTGGTCACTTGTGGTACTCCATCTTGCCAGCATGGTACAAGGGGGAGAAGAATCCCTTCTCAGGAGTTGGATGTTACCCAACTCCTGCTTCCAGAAAGTGGCAGGAAGCAAGGGAAAGTGAAAAGAAGTCAGGGAAAGGTCGTGGGATGGCTGGCCATCCCTGAAGATGGACCCTGCTGGAAGAGACACAGGATAAGATGTTTTCCCCACTCTTCCCAAAAATTTTCCTAGCTTTTCCCTGCATCCCTCCTGCCCATCTAGGAGTCCAGCATTTTAATCCCATTCAGCTATTACAACTCAGTAGATGAGGTTAGGCAAGTCAAATTTTCCCAGCCAGAAAAGAAGGCAATGTGAAACCCTCTCTGCATACATCTTGTAACATCCCCCCCTCACCAACCCATAAGTCAAAGTCTACTGAAAGGCACCAAACAACAACAACAAAGAACAGAATTTTAGTGTAGTCATTGTTATGAAAAATGTATACAGTCATCACTCCTTATTCACTGGTATTAGGGGTGCAAGACCCCTGAAAAAACAGTTTTTTACATGAGAGAACACATATGGTGGAAGCTGATGATAGCATGCTAGAGGACCTACAAATGCCTAGGAAAAGTGTTCTTTCTAGAATCTCTAAATATTTCAGTGCAACTCCATGGTGAAAATTAATCAAAGTCACACAGGATGCCTTAGAAATTCCTAGAGATTAATCAATTTCACGAATAATGAGATCTGCAAAAGTGAAACCAGTAAATGTGAATGGGCGATTGTAGTCATAAATGTAGGAGAACTATCTAGGTTTTTGTGATATAGGACATTATGATCAAACTGAAAAAAGGACACCAATTGAATGAAATCATGATGCCATTTTGGACCCGAATCTATTTTTGAGTGCAATTTTAGGAGAGGCATGATGCTTTTCTGCATGAGTTCATATAGCCATCTCTGGGGTATTTATTGCTAAGCAACTGCCAAAATCAAATTAAAAATAACCTTTCATTCCTACTTTCTGGAATGTGTCCACCAAAAGAGAGACATTTAAAGCCCATGTTGTAAAGACACTCTTTGCATGAGGAAGTATCATATGCAGAGAGATGTGCTGAAAGATATTGCATTGCTTTTTATGCCAAGTTGACTTCATGCCACAGACGACATTTGCTGGCTTGTGCATTTCAACATGCCTGCCAAGAAATACCCAGCACTATTTCATCTTTAGCACTACCACTGACGTTAATTATAGGACTTGGGAGAGTGTTTGGATAAGTCTTACCCTTCAGGTTCATAAACAGTAACATTCTGAGATTAGGCTAGCTCTCACCTTAGAAACTTTCAAGAATAACCTCAAAATGTGGCTTTTCCATTGTGCTTTTGGAGAGTGATCTTACATCTCCCTTGTCATGCACTCCTCTAATGGGTGTCCTCATATTCCACTATCTCTTGCCCGCATGAAGGACTGTCTCTACTACTCCGTTCATGATCTCCCTTACAAATATGTAGGTTTTTATTTTTATCCCATCCTTCGTTTTTATCATTGTATCTTGCACATGTGGCCCGCTCATTGTGATTGTGTTTGATTTTCTATTGTATTACTTTGCACTGTTTATTATATTTTACGCTTGATTTATTTTATTTTACTATAATGTTTGCTTTATGCTTTTTATGTTACTGTATTGAAATGCACTTCTGGGCTTGGCCTCATGTAAGCCACCCCGAGTCCCCTTCGGAGAGATGGTGGCAGGGTATAAATAAATTTTATTATTATAAGTTTATTATTGCTGAGCTAGAAGGCAATGTGATTTTTGTTATCTCACAAGAGATGGACAAGTGCATTCTTTTATGTCCTTGGAAGTTAATTTAGCTCTATTTCAGATATTCCCGGTGCCAATCATCTTAAAAGTTCTGCCCTCCCTAAAATAATAGTTTGCTTCCATTTTCGTTCATCTGAACTGTAGATGCCTCAGTAAGTTAGGGTAGGGTTTTTTTTGTCATGTCAGGAGTAACTTGAGAAACTGCAAGTTGCTTCTGGTGTGAGAGAATTGGCAGTCTGCAAGGTTGTTACTCAGGGGACACCCAGATGTTTTGACATTTTATCAACCTTGTGGGAGGTTTCTCTCATATCTCCGCATGAGGAGCTGGAGCTGATAGAGGGAGCTTATCTGCGCTCTCAGGGGCGGCTCAACCCATTATGCAAAGTAAGCATCTGCAGTATAGTTGATTTTGCCCAGGGGCGCTCTTGAGGCGCTCTTGGGGGGAAAATAGACCTTGACATATGCGAGTTGTAGTTACTGGGATGTATAGTTCATCTAAAATCAAAGAGCAATCTGAACTCCAGCAATGATGGAATTGAACCAAATATGGCACACAGAACTCCCATGACAAACAGAAAATATATATCAGTGATTGGTTGGGGGGGGGGGCGCTAAAATACTGTTTGCTTACCATTGAAAATTATCTAGGGCCACCTCTGCGCGCTCTCCCCAGATTCGAACCTGGACCTGTCAGTCTTCAGTCCTGTGGGCACAGGGGTTTAAGCCACGGGGGGCTCCTAGGGTAGGGGTGAGAAATACTAAGGATTGAGTAAAATACAATCACAGTCCAAGAAAGAGTTACAAGGTGTGCCTACACTACAGTTATAGGTTTCATACCATTTTAGTTGTATGTTTCCATGTGAAGGAAAACCGTTGCCGTCTGTCACAACTTGTGTGTCCTTCTTTGCTAGTTTTGCCATCTTGACCACACACTGATGTTGCTTGGCCAAACATGTTTCAATTTCTTTGTGGAGAGGGGTACACAATCCAGAATGTTGGTTGGTCCTCCTATTTCTCCCTGAGCATTAAATGAGGAAGCCTTTCGATAGTAGCCCAACCCAAGAAACACCCTTTAAAGACTTAAATTCTTTAATCTCCTTCTAGCTTGCCTACCTGGCCAGCTAGGTAGTTCCTTTCCTACACAATTCTTTCCACCACATCCCTCTTCCTCCACCCAATAGCCACATGGAATGGGAAATCAGGATGCGAAAAAACCACTTGCAAACAAGTGAGGGAAGTCCTGACATGTTAGAGAACTGGCAGGCTTCTGAAACTTGCAGACACACCGCTGCAACAAGCAATGAAAATTAGTATGTCTCCAGTCCTCCCAATGCCCCTTAAAAGCATCCAAGAAAGAAGAGAGAGGATAAGTGGGTGCAAAAGTTATTTCTTGGTAAGAGAATTCATTTTTCAGTGGAATCCTTTCCATGTGTGCTCAAAAGAAAGTCGCACTGATTTAAGTTAGTCAATTCCCTGAGTCAGGTTACAACATTAATACCTCACCCCGAAGAGCTCCCGTTTCGGCTGCCTTCCCTAGTAATTGGGGAATACCGTTTAGTCAACATGCATGCCTTGGTATTCAGAGCTATAGATATGTGCAATGAAAAACCATAATAGTCTCATCTTATCCTTTAGTTGATATATGTGGAATCAAAGGCACAGCTGGGCTATCCAAACGTGGGATTCTTTTCGTGCTTTGGATACAGACAATTCTTTAGCTTTTCTGAGTTGGTTAGTCTAATGCAGTAGTTCTCAACCTTCCTAATGACACAATCCCTTAATACCCAACCATAACATTATTTTTGTTGCTGATTCATAACTATAATTTTGCTATTGTTATGAATTGTAATGTAAATATCAGATATGCAGGATGTATTTTCATTCACTTGACCAAATTTGGCACAAATGCCCAATACACCCAAATTTGAATACTGGTGGGGTTGGTGGGGGGGATATTGATGTTGTCATTTGGGAGTAGTAGTTGCTGGGATTTATAGATAACCTACAATCAAACAGCATTCTGAACTCCACCATCAATGGAACTGAACCAATCTTGGCACACTACCTAGATGGCCAACATTGAATACTGGTGGGATTGTGGGGCTGCTTTTGAAATCTAGGAGTTGTAGTTCACCAACACCAAAAAGGAAGAGAAGGACAGGCAGAGAGATCTTTAGCCTTCACTGCCAAAAGGGGATGCCTGGATGTTTTACTTTCCTGTGGGTGGCTTCTCTCATGTTCCCACATGGGAAGCTGGAGCTGACAGATGGGAACTCATCCTGCTCCCTGGTTTAACCTATTGTGCCACTGGAGGCTCTGCATATCAAGTGAACAAGGGGAAAAGGTTCTACTGCAGTGATTGTGAAAGAAATATGGCATTAGAAGAATAGGATGCTCAGAACTGTCAAGTCACATTGCTTCAGAAGAAGACAAGGGCAATCTCATCCTTAGCACATCTTGCCAAGAAATCCCCATGATAGATTTGCCTTAGGGTCATCATAATTCAGAAATGACTTGAAGGCACATATCAAGAACAATGTGTTATAATTATATATACATAGACATAGATTCTGTGTCTGTATTAGAGAGTGATATTAAATTCTGTACACCTTATAGACATATCGTACATCTTTAGTCCATATTTGAGTCAGGATATACCTTCATAGACGACATTTCCTTGGCAGCCTGTCCTTTGCACAGCAATATGTGTTGCCGTCACAATATATGTGTTTGTGTATATATGTGTCTTCAAGTCACCTGTTAATTTATGGTGGCTTCATTAATTTCATATGGTTTTCTTAGGCAAATAATACCCTTCCTCTAGTAGCTTACAATTATTCATTGTATTAATGACTATACTGCATTGTATCAATGACTATCACTTGCTCAAGATTTTCTGGTACAATGAGATAGTTCAGGGTGCAGGAATGAAAGTCCAGTAGATTTTGGATCTAGTTATTTGAAGTACTCTTAAATGTGGCTTTTTAGAAAAGCCCCTTTGGATCCTTAAGAGTTCATCTTTCTGTACAATGAGCCCTTGGCAGCTGCTGGGGTTTGGTTGCAGTGCCCCCCATGGACACCCAAAATCTGCAGATGCTCAAACCCCTTTATATACAATTGCATAGTAAAATGAGAAAATCGAGGTTTTCATTTTTGAATTATGGATGGTGGAGAACGTACTTTATATATCCATCATTTGTATATATGCAGGGTTATAGACTCCTTTAACATTTTAAGTTATTCAGCTTTTAAATTATTCAGTGATTTAATATGTTTTATAATGTTTACATTATTTTATAGTTTGAAATTACAAACTGCTTAAGCTGATTTTCCCCTAAGATATCCAAATATCTTATTAATTAGGGTGGGATATCATTGTGCATCTCTATGTGTATGTGCTTTCAAGTCTCCTGTTGACTTATGGTGGATTTCATAGAGTTTTTCTTAGACAAGGAATATTCAAGAGGTGTGTTTGCCACTTCCTTCCTCTGAAATATAAGCCACAGCATTTGGTATTTCTTACCTGTCTCCCATTTAAATACTAAGGCTGGCCCTGCTTAGCTTTAAAGATCAGATGGGATTTGGTACTTTGACAATATTTAGGCAGTTGGAATTTTGTGTGTGTGTGTCAGGAGCAACTTGAGAAACTACAAGTTGCTCCTAGTGTAAGAGAATTGGCCATCTGCAGGGACGTTGCCCAGGGGATGCCTGGATGTTTGATGTTTTACCATCTTTGTGGGAGGCTTTTCTCATGTCCCTGCATGGGGAGCTGGAGCTGACAGAGGGAGCTCATCCACTCTCCCCAGATTCGAACCGCTGACCTGTCAGTCAGGAATCCTGCTGGCACAAGGGTTTAACCCATTGCGCTACCGAGGGCTCCTGGCAGTTGAGATGTAAATATTTAACAACAACAACAACAGAAAGTTGTTCTGTTTTTATTATTTCTTTCTCAATAAAGGCCTAATTTACCAATCTGTTTAATCTCATAACATATACTTGGTGCACAGATTTCCCTACAACATTTACCAAAGCTGTTTTCCCCCTCCTCACTTAGAATCAACTTGTAACTGAAACCTTTAATCATAATCAACCACAACACAATTCATTCCCAACCAAATTAAGCCACTTGGAAAAAGATAAAAGCATTCAAGATTAAAAGACAGAGTGAAAAAAATTATTTTAATTAGCTCTTTAAAACATTCTGCTCCCACTAGTTCAGGTTGCCACTCCCCAGTTGTCAAGAGGTCTTCTGAGGGGGGTTTTGTGTGTGAAACTTTTCAGAATTAAGATAGTGTCCTAGTGGAGTTCTGCCAAAACATGCAGAAGATATCAAGATTATCTCTAATAAACATAATGAGTAAATATAAACATGAAATACCAACTGATCTCCATCATGGTTACAGTTGTCACTTCAGATGTTTTATGATTTGTTCATAATGTTGGCAAGTCTACCAGAATATATTGCAAAGCTAGAAATTGTGCCTCTAAGCAAGCTTCAAGCAGTTTCTACCTTTAGTTTAAAAAAATATTTTTGTTGGAGCAAAGAGATGTTGAATCCAATGAAAAAACAGAGCTTCTCAAAATTGGAGTCCCAGTGCTGGTTTTAATTCCTCAAAATGATGCTATCTGACAAGTTCCCAGGAATGAAAGAAATAATTCTACCAAATGGACACGTATTTAATACTAGGGGCTGCGGTGGCACAATGGGTTAAACCAGTGTTTCTCAACCTGGGGGTTGGGACCCCTGGGGAGGGGGTCGGGAAGGAGGTATCAGAGGGGTCGCCAAAGACCATGAGAAAATACAGTATTTTCTGTTGGTTATGGGGGTTATGTATGGGAAGTTTGGCCCAATTCTATCATTGGTGGGGTTCAGAATGCTCTTTGATTATAGGAAAGCTATAAATCCCAGCAGCTACAATTCCCAAATGTCAAGATATTTTTAAACCAAACTCCACCAGTGCTCACATTTGGGCATATTGATTATGCGTGCCAAGTTTGGTCCAAATCCATCATTGTTTGAGTCCACAGTGCTCCCTGGATGTAGGTGAACTACAACTCCAAAACTCAAGGTCAATGCCCAACAAACCCTTACAGTATTTTCTGTTGGTCATGGGAGTTCTGTGTACCAAATTTGGTTCAATTCCATTGTTGGTGGAGATCAGAATGCTCTTTGATTGTAGGTTAACTATAAATCCCAGCAACTACAATGCCCAAAGGACAATATCAACCCCTCCCCCAACTCCACCAGTATTCAGATTTGGGCACATTGGGTATTTGTGTGAAATGTTGTCCAGTGAATGAAAATACATCCTGCATATCAGATATTTACATTACAATTCATAGCAGTAGCAAAATTACAGTTGTGAAGTAGCAACAAAAATAATTTTATGGTTGGGGGTCACCACAACATGAGGAACTGTATTAAGGGTCATGGCATTAGGAAAGTTGAGAAGCGAAACGTCAGGAGAGAATGCCTCTAGACCATGGCCATACAGCCTGAAAAAACCTACAACAACCCAGTGATTCTGACCATGAAAGCCTTTGACAATACACTGATAATAAACATTACTGCATTCATTATGTAGAATGGACAGTCATGAATCTATACATGAAATGTGGTTCAATTGATTGGAGACTTCAGTACCCAAAGCATTTCCTCTATTTTTACAGAAAAGGTGAAATTAGTCAGTGTGCTATTTCCTTATCTATTTTACTCAATTATTTTAATCCATTTCCTTCTCCATTTCCCTCCAGTTCCTCGCCAGCCTGGAGTGAGCAATAATCTCTTCGACACATTTGAAATCGAAAGGGGGATCAGTGCTGATGAGGATGAAGCAAATGATGATCCAGGTAACAATCATTGGAATCCTGTATGCATTAATTTGCCAAACAATTTCTTCTTGTGTGTGTGAGTGTGTGCGTGTGCATGTACGCACGCACGCACACACACACAAACACACGTTTTATTTACTGAATGTAATTTTTAAGTCAACTGTCTTGCCGCTCAGCGTTCAGACATTCCAGCCTTGGGGCAAGATGGTTTAAGGGAACTAAGCACATTAAATGTACTGTCACACAGGAGGCTTAATTGGTCTGAGCTTGCATCATGTAAATATGAAATTTCCAGGGAAAGAGCTGGTTTTGACACAGTGTTGCCCTAGGCAAAGCAGCAAATAATGCCCTCCCACACCCTTAAATCTAACCACATCAAGGGGCATACTATCCAAACTCATTCAAGTTATCTTTGCATCGGAGGCAAAAACCCCCACAAGCACTTCTCCTCCTTCCTGTCAGTAAAAACACAGTAACAAATTAAATAAGTAATCCTTTTCTGCCTTTTCATGACATCCCACAACATTTTCACTCTTGAGATAGTAGAGTTAGCCCTGCACAGAAGTGTGAATTCAGTTTATAGTATTATGTTTTGTCGAAGGCTTTCATGGCCAGAATTACTGGTTTGCTGTGAGTTTTCTGGGCTGTATGGCCATGTTCCAGAAGCATTCTCTCCTGACGTTTTGCCCACATCTCCGCAGGCACCCTCAGAGGTTGTGAGGTCCTCACAACTTCTGAGAACTGTCATACCTCACAACCTCTGAGGATGCGTGCCATAGATGTGGGAAAAATGTCAGGAGGCAGTGCTTCTGAAACATGACCACACAGCCCAGAAAATTTGCAGCAACCCATTTCTTATGTTACTCCTCCCTTACCTGTCCCCCATCATGTGTAACAACTTCTTTCAGCAGTGTTGCAGCATTTGGTAGTACAGACAAGGACAAACATTTTCATGTATTGCCCAAATTATGTCCTGTATTTCTCAAGTATTCATATATGTTTCGTATTGTCCTTTAAACTAATCTGAGGAGCACATGGAAGATTTTATCAGTATCCTTTTGAGGCTGAACATTTATAATCTCATACCTTAGGAAGCGAATATTCAATTTGGGAGTATGCTGGATTTTGCACTTCAGAGTAAAATACCTATATCTTTAATGTTTGAGCAAACATAGTTCTGTTTGTGTTATTGTTTTCCATCATATCCATTGCTTGAATTGGGGAAAAATGGTAACCTTAAGCACCCCATACTGTTAATTTCAACCCCTACCTTCTATAGATGGAGATTTAAAGGAGATGCTAGGGAAAGGGTAGCATTGAAAACAAATCAGCTGGTTTACTCTCTGCATTTTGTATTTTGCATAATGATTGCAGGTTCCCCTTCTTTTTTGCCAATTTGATATGCCATCTTTATTTTATTTTCATCATTTTTATTAAACTCTAATGTAAGAATAATGTAAGAATAATGCATTATTTCCAGATGCAGTAATAATGCAGTTATTCCAGATGCTATTGAATTCAGCAACCCTAGAAAATGTAAATACTGTGGAAGAATACTGGAGGATTGCATGATTTCCATCCTTGCTATATTTTAACGATACAGTCATCTTCAAAGCCAAACAAGGCATTCCCCTGTTGACCTTTGCTTTGTTATTTGCAGCTATCCTTGTTCACAGTTGTAACTTTGATTATGGTCTTTGTGGATGGATGAAGGAGAAAGATGATGATTTACACTGGGAACCTGTTAAAGACAACTCAGGTACTACTTGGTTTCCTTAGGTTTAGTATAAATCATTAAATATTCAGAGGAAAGAACTGTATACAGTAGCCTTCCCCAATCTTCAGGTGTGGTGGACTTCAGTTCCTATCATTCCTGGTCAACATGACTAACGGTGAAGAATTATGGGGATTGAAGTTCAAAACTTCTGGTGGAGGTCACCCAGTTGGGGAAGGCATTCATAATATGCTTCCTCGAGTCCCATTATTGGGAAGATGCTGTGTTTTCTTATGGTCTTTGGTGACCCCTCTGACTCCCCCTTCACAACCCCCCCCCCCAGGAGTCCTAAGTTGAGAAATGCTGCTCTATAATATATTTTCACGCAGGGACATTATTTTCTGTGCCTAAAAAGCTGTCTCCTAAACAGAAAATACAATTTTGGTGACCATCTGTGAATTTTGCATAGAAGGCTCCAATTGCAACATTTTCTCTCTAGGAAATGGCTGTACAGAGCATGTCCCAAAATATTTATTTACATTATTTACATTATTTCTATCCCGCCCATATCAACCCGAAGGCGACTCAGGGTGCAAATAACCAAGATTCTTGATGCTACAATGTCAAGATTTCTCAGCATTTGAAAAACATGTTTTTGTGATCATCATTATAATGTTTTTGAATATTCTTTCCATCCTTAGCCAGTATGTGGGATAGATATAGATACAAATGGAGGACTGCTGACTTTCCCAGACCTCTGTAGGTAAATAAAAACAACAGATCCAAGGCTTTCACTCCCCAATGTTACTTTAATATAATATAAAACTTATTTATCCTTTAGGAAATATTTTCAGTTTTGAAACGTTTAACAAAAGGAGATCAAAATAAGAAAATCCCTCAGGGAATATTTCCAACTTTGAAATGGTTAATAAAATGAGATCAAAAAATAAGGAAATACTCGTTATCATAGTGATAAGATATTTATATGGCACAAAGGATTATTTATCAGAGTTCTGATCCTATACATGAAAGGATTTGTGAAAAAAAAATTCATATAGCATGCCTTTCTGATTTTGTCTCTTCTAAATGGTGCCGGTCCTCTGGTTTTCATTTAGCATTTTGAACAGATACCTTTCTAAGAACAAAGCTGTACTCTCACATTATATGACTTCATGGCGGCAAAGGAAGGGCACATTGGAGACCACTGGAGCCTTAGGATGAATATACACTGTAGAATTAATGAAGTTGGATACCACTTTAACTGAGAAGACTCAAAGTTGTAGTGTCATGGTAGTATTAAATTGTGAGGCACTAACACTATATGGCAGAGAAAGCTAAAGACTTTGCAAAACTCCAACTCTATAGCATTGAGCAATAGCAGTTAAAGTGGGGTCAAACTGAAATTATTCTATACTGTAGATGCACATTTAACTAAGGTTGGTAGGGTTATGGGTGGGGGGGGGGGTTGCATATAAATAACCTATAATAATAATAATCTTATGCACATTTATGAGAGAAAGAGAACATCTCACTGAAGTTGGTGCAACTCACTTTCTAGGATGTGTGAATATGTCCAGACACATAAAGCCACAATTTCAATTAAATATTTTCTCTTTCTTCCCCTTGGAAATGATGTGTGAACATTTTAGCTTAAACAATGGAAAATCATCTAAAGAATTGTAATTCATTTATTCACTTTATTTTCTGTTGTTTTATTTTATTGATATTTTAATGTCAGCTGAGTGACTTGAATCCATTATTAGATTGCTACCTGTGGAAGGGCTCAAAACTTGGAAAAATTATTTTTGTTTTGTTCTTTGCACTATGGCTCCCAAAATTGCCCATCCAGCATGGCTCAGGCTGTTGTAGAACAGTGGCCTATATATTGACCTAAATGCAGAAAATCTTTTTGGTGTCCAAAAGCTCTTCCTCAAGACCTAGTGTTCATATGCTACTCCATTTGGCTTTTAAAAGCTGTGCTTTCCATACCAGAAATCTTCTGCTAATTGTACAACAGGTTCTCTTTTTCTTTTTCCCCTTCTGTAGTAGTAGTAGTAGTAGTAGTAGTAGTAGTAATAATAATAATAATAATAATAATAATAATAATAATAATAAAGGCCACCTTACTTGGATCTGCGCGCATCATTCAAAACTACATCACACAGTCCTAGACGCTTGGAAAGTGTTCGACTTGTGATTTTGTGATATGAAATCCAACATATAGATCTCGTTTGCTGTGACCTACTGTGCTTTTGTATAATAATAATAATAATAATAATAATAATAATAATAATAATAATACTTTATTGGTATACCTCTCTATCTCCCTAAGAGGACTCAGGTTGGTTTCCAACATAGGCAAAACATTCAACTTCCGAATGAAACAAAAACCATACAAAATAGACATTATAAAACAAACATAAATCCTATAAAAAAGCAATCACAAACATTTAAAAACCAATATCAATATTTCACTATCAACAGAAATTCAATTACCAATGGCCAGGAATTACAAAGTGGACCTAGTTAGCTATGAGAGGGCTGGGCAAAGGGCCAGTGCAACAAAGTAGCATAGGGCCCGGGTGATGGATAAAGTGCAGGGCAGGGTCCTAGCTGATGGCCAGGGAAGGGTCTGGAACTAATCATTTCCAAAGACTTGCTGGAACCACCAAGTTTTCAGGTCTCTGTGGAAGGAGGACAGTGTCAGGGCTTGTCTTATCTCTCTGGGGAGGGCGTTCCAGAGTCTCCCTCTCCCTCATACCCACCAACTGTGCTTGGGACGGTGGCGGGAGTGAGAGGAGGGCCTCCCCAGCAGATTTTAGACCCCCCACTGGTTTGTAGGGGGAGATGCAATTGAACTATTTGTGTTTTTAAGATCCATGCCAGTGTCTATTAAAATATTTTATATAGTTATGTTTATTGCCCAACAGACTTCAAATATTTTGATCATGCCTATTCTCAACAGAGCTGGAAAACAACAATTTACGATTATGAGTAGATTACGAGTAGATTAGATCTTTAGTAGATTACTAGTTGACTGCAAAATGTTGCTTTGTCTCCTACACAGTTCACTCTCCCCTGCTGGAGTTCTCTGTCACTTAAAAAGTCATTGAGCGGGATGAAGCACTTTTATGGAGGCTTAGTTATGTAGAAGATATATATTTTCCAATGCAGGATCCCATCTTATAATTTAAGATTTTTAATGTAGCTTCCTAAATTCAGAATTCTATGACTATTTTGAAAATGTTTTTCTGTTGTTTTCCTTCTTAAAAACAAACAAACAAATGCAGGTGGGCAGTATTTATCTATTTCTGAACCAAAAGGAAAACCAGGACGAGTTGCCCGTTTGGTCCTTCCGCTTGGACGTTTAGCTCCATCAGAAGATCTCTGCCTTTTCTTCCGGCATAAAGTGTCTGGGATGCATTCTGGTTTCCTTCAGGTCTTCGTACGAAAGACTGGCGTTCATGGACCAGCAGTCTGGGGAAGGAATAATGGTCATGGTTGGAGACAAACACAATTAACATTGCAAGGATCTGGTATCAAAAGTGTGAGTATAGTTCTGAGATGGAGGGAATGGAAGAAAGAGGAAGCATTTGTGTGGTTCTGTTCCTGGGTTGAATATAATCCTCCATTAATTTCTAAACAAGTTAATTTATTACATTTATAATTGAATTGGCAATTTTGAATCTCTCTGGCCCTTGGGTAGTTAATGTAAGATAGTTCTTTTAAAATCACCTTGTGCTCTGCACCTTTATCTGTGACATATGGTAAAAACTACCCTATTAAATCTGAAGTATGCATTGTTATCCTTACCCAACATTACACCTTTCCCAGTGAAATCTTATGTCAAATCAGAGATAGGCCGAAATCCAACATTCTCTCAGTTTACTATAAATATCTACATACAGAGATACACTCCCATTATCACTATGCAACCCCTATGCACAATAGCAATATTGTACAGTGAAGGCCAATAACAATTACGAGTAGATTAGATCTTTAGTAGATTACTAGATTAGAATTAGTACAGTGTGTAGTGCAGTACTGCAGCACAAAACATTGCTGTATGTGCAACTTCATTCTGCCATCATTAGCAAAAAAAAAAAAAAAGCCAATGGGATTTTGGCCTGCATCACGAGGAGCATAGTGTCTAGATCTAGGGAAGTAATGCTACCGCTCTATTCTACTTTGGCTAGACCACACCTGGAATATTGTGTCCAATTCTGGGCACCACAATTCAAGAGAGATATTGACAAGC